CATGTAAGTACCCGCGAAAACTTAAGAAAACAAATATATATATATATATATATATATATATATATATATATATATATATATATGTGTGTGTGTGTGTGTGTGTGTGTGTGTGTGTGTGTGTGTGTGTAAATTTTTAGAGTATAAAGCAAAATATAGAATATAAAGCAGGAATTTGGATCCTGAAATCAACAGAAATTAGAGTTTAGAAAAATAGGCAAATTCCTACTGACAAAATATCAACATCTAGTCTCTTAGATTATTGTTCCCTAAAATAGTAAATCTATATCTGAGATGTATTACTACAGACCATAGAAGAAACCAAAAGTTTTGCCTTTTCCCCCACACAAAAATCTTTGTTGCCATAAAGTGTGGGTATGTGGATCAATCTTTCCCAACGATTTCAAGCAGAAAATTCTTGACAATAGGCTTTGAGTATCGTGGAATTGTTTTGTGTTCAAAGCAATTATTCTGAATGCGAAGCAATTCTGTGTTCAAAACACTTGCCCAAAGCAATCAATTTCACAATCAAATCAGCAGTTTCACACAAAGAATAGGAGATTGTGTAAAGAAAATCGTTTTAACAATAGGAGGGGGAGGTAAATAGGCTGAGAATATTTATTCCTGATGGAAAACTTTAAGGACAATGTTTCTCGGCATCAGGAACTTAAAGATATGTGGACATCAACTCCCAGAATTTCCCAGCCGGCATATATTCTTAAAATTCCCCAGCGATCAGTTATGTTAAAATTGCTGAGGTTGAGAAATACTGATTTAGGCCACTGAGTCCTACCACTATCTCAGAATACAAATCCAAATTAAAGAATCCCTGACAGATGGCTGACTAGTCCTCATAAACATTTTCAGTGAAGTGAGTGATCATTTCTCTGAGCAATTGATTACATCGTTGGATTGCTCTTATTCAGAGAGATGTAAGTTCTACTTCACTGGATGTGTGCTCAGGGGGAAGTTAAGGGAAGCTTTAATTTTCTTTGTGTTGTCATTTTGCACAATAGCTATGGAAGATGCCTGTTTCATCTTCTTCTGCAGTCAATGTTTATGTCAGAGTGCACAGAAACAGCCCCTATCTTGTCTGCATGGATTTGTCTCTTTCACAAAGTGAAGTTATAGACCCTAACTATCTCTGGATTGGACCAAATGGACAGAACCTAAAAAGTAAGTTACATTTTTATCAAGAGATCAAAATATTTATTTGTTTTGAAAACTTACACTATCAAAATGGTCCTGCAAGCTCTATTTGTTCTGAAAATGTTATAGTTCTGTATGGCATACAAGATACATGAACAATATCAGTAATAATAACAACGATGTACAAAAGCTGTAAACATGGTGTTTGGGAAAATATGTTTTTTTCCTCAAATTCAGTTGATAGAGGTGTGAATCAGGAAGTGGGGGCAGGAGAATCTCCAGCAGACTGGTCAATTCCAAAGCAAACACAAGCAATGGATAGAATTGCAGGAATGTAAATCCCATAAATTTCCAAAGTGCCTGTGAAAATAAAAATCGAGAAGAGTCTTAAGGAAAGAAAAGTAGTTTAGAACAAAACTCATTCAGAGGCCACTCTAACTTACAACAGTGGTATTTACGACTAGTCCTCAAACTTATGTCAGTTGCACTGTCCCTACAGTCATCGATCACAATCCAGGTGTTATGTATTACCAAATATGGCCAGAGAGTGGAGTCAGCTAACAGACTCCACTCATTGGCCCAGCCACTGGTGGGAGAAATAAAGCCCCATTAGTGGCTGAAGCTTTGGACAGTGCCGGTTACAAAAGCCAGCGCCTGCCGCTGCTGAGCGGCTTTTTTTCACTTACACTCAAATAAAGAAACCTTTACCTGTTCCTGCCATGTCCTGCCTCTTATTCCCATGGATCCATTTAACACTGGCGATGAGGGTGGGATCCTGAACTGCGGAGAGAACAAAGGACACCTCGTGGGTCATGGATGCCATTTTACCGACCGTCACAACGATCACAACCCAACCGACTGACATGGCACAACACTCGACCAGCCTGGCACACTGCCTGATGGCGATTCCCTATGACCTGGCAAAGGAGAAATGGTCCTCATACATGGGCCAATTCAACTTGCCTCTGGAAGTCAATGTACTCCAAGCAGCCCCCAACGTGCAGAAAAAAGCATTGTTCCTGACCTACTGTGACACCGAGATATACGAGATGGCAGATGCCCTGGTAGCGGATGACCTGCAGAATGTGTCCTGGGACGCATTCCAACAGGCCCTCAAGGGACACTACGACCCATCTCCCTCCTACCTGGCAAGCAAATATGACCTCTACATGTGGAGCCAGAGAGAGGGGGAAACGATAAATGCATTCATTTATTTGCAGAAGACAGCAAAAAACTGAAAGTTCCTGGACACCAAAGGGATGATCAGAGATCAAATCATCCTGGGAACGAAGGATCCAGCACTCCAAAAGAAACTCTGGTCCCAAGAGGATGTCTTCTTCAAAGAGGCCATCGATGTGGCATGAGCCGCAGAGTCCTCCGATAACTCAGAAGCGTGAATTAGAGGGATAGGGAGGATCCATGCAACTGCGACTGATCGCCACCCCAACCGAAGCAACTCCACCTCTGAAGCAAGCAAGGATGACGACGGAGACATGCACAAGCTGAAGTCCAGTAAACCAGGCGGGAAACCAGGAAATAGAATGCGGGGGTTGCGGAAGAAACCACCTCCACTCGGCATGCCAATTTAAAGACACTATCTGCAAAGATGTGAGCACAGAGGCCACGTCGCGGAGGTATGCCAAGCAGCAAACAAGGCAGGCAGGCATCATCACCCACAAGGCAACATGGCCACCAAGGGGGAGGGTGGAAGCCCCCTGGTGGGAAATTCAAATGGAGAGATGATGCCAGGGAAGAAGAAGCCCACTTCACCTTCATTGGCTATGCACAGACCCAGGTGAGACACGCTGATGCCTACAAGGCCAACAAGGTAATGGCTACAGTCTCCATCGAGGACAAGCCCTGCCGCATGAAAGTTGACTCGGGAACCTACATATCCATGATCTCATGGGACACCCTCAAAAGACTCCAACCCAAGCTGCGTCACAACCAATTGGAACTGCAGACTATCATCGTAAGGGACAATCAGGGCTGCCACCTACCTGTCCTGGGCAGGAAAACAGCTTACATAGAATACGGAAAATTTCAAGGAAGCCTGACACTCACCATAGTAGACTGGAACCTGCCAAGCCTACTAGGAAGAGAATGGTTCCAGCCGCTACAGATCAACATCATTGGTATGCACGCAGCAAAGACCACCCCACTGGGCCCGGCAGCAGACATCGCAGAACTGGAATGGAAATTCAGCGAGGTCTTCGATGACAAACTGGGCAAGTACACGGGGACCCCAATATCATTTAATTTAGACCCCAACATTGCCCCAGTCTGACTCAAGCCATGGTGTGTCCTGTTTGCTCTCTGGCCCAAGTTCAAAGAGCAACTAGATAAATTAATTGCCCAAGGGTTCCTCAAGCTGGTGGACCCAAATGGGAGACCCTAATCATCACCCCAATTGGTTCCTCGAGCCAAATGGGAGACCCCAATCGTCACCCCAGTCAAGCCAGATGGGTCAATCAGGATTTGTGCTGACTACAAGACAACCCTGAACAAGGCCCACCAGCAAAGTGCCTACCCCGTGCCCGTAGTACAGCACCTCCTGCACTCCCTGGGCCGGGGGACTATATTCGCTAAATTAGATCTGGCCCAGGCCTATCAGCAACTGCCCATCAACGAGTCAACCGGAGAAGCACAAACCATTGTCACACACCGAGGCGCTTTTAAATGCACGCAGTTGCAGTTCGGAGTCAGTATCATCCCCGGCCTGTTCCAGAGCATTATGGAATGGCTACTGCACAATATTCCAGGGGTGATCCCATATTTTGACGATGTAATCATATCAGCCAAAAGCAGGGGACAATTGATAAAGAGACTAAGGGCAGTATTGGGCAGATTCCAGGAAGCTGGACTCAAATTAAAAAGAAATAAGTGCCACCTAGCCATTCCCCAGGTGGAATTCCTGGGCTTCCTGATAGACACAACTGGCATCCAACCCATGACTGGGAAATTGAAGGCAATACAGGGGGCCCCCACCCCACAAAACAAAATGGAACTGCATGCCTTCCTGGGGTTACTCAACTTCTACAATGTTTTCTTACCACAGAAGGCAACCATCGCAGAACCACTCTATAGACTACTAGACAAAACATCCACCTGGGCCTGGGGGCAACACAAGACCAATGCCTTCAAAAAGATTAAAAGCCTCCTGACATCCAACAGCGTCCTCATACAATACAGTGAGATGCTGCCATTGTTACTCACATGAGACACCTCCCCCTATGGAATTGGAGCAGTCCTCAGCCACTGACTACCCAACGGGACAGAAGCCCCCATAGCATATTACTCAAAGACACTATCCAAAACACAAAGTAACTATAGCCAAATCGACAAGGAGGTGCTTGCCACAGTTGCAGGAATCAAGCGTTTCCATGAATACCTGTACGGGAGACAATTCGACCTAATCACCAACCACAAACCCTTGCTGGGTATCCTCGCCAGTGACAAACCCACACCAAACATCTTATCACCCAGGGTTAGTGTTAAGGTTCCTGGCCGCATACAGCTACCGCATAATCCACAAGCCAGGAAAAGACATCTCCCATGCCGACGCCCTGAGCTGTTGTCCCCTTCCAGACCTAGCGAAGACCCAGTGCCATCCATCACAGTACTACTCATGGAGGAGATACTGCCTGGACTGATGACGTCCACAGAAATCACGAGGCTCACAGCCTGCGACAAAATCATGGCACAGATTTCAAACTGGGTGTGGAGGGGATGGCCAGAAGCAGTAAAAGGGGAGGAATACACATGATATAGAAACAGACAGGCTGAGCTGTCAGTACTAAAGGGCTACATACTGTGGGATACATACAGTATCCCCCCCCACTCAGGAACAGAATACTGTCACTGCTAGTGAGGGCCACTCAGAAATAGTCCGGATGAAAGCCCTGCCCAGAAGCTGCATGTGGTGGCCAGGGCTGGACAAAGAGATAGAAACCTGGGTCGCTACCTGCTCTCCCTGGCAAGAAACCACCCCAGCCCCCCACCCCCGGCAGCGAGCCCCAGAAAATGGGAGACGCCCACAGCCCCTTGGGCCTGTACACATTGACTTCGCAGGGCCCTGTCAGGGGAAAGCCTTCCTCATAATCGTTGACGCATACTCTAAGTGGTTGGAAGTAATATTAATGAAATCCACCACATCAGAGGCTACCATAAGAGCCCTCCAACGACTATTCTTCACCCACAGGTTGCCGGATATCCTCATCTCCGACAACAGGCTGCAGTTCACCTTGCAGCCGTTCAAAGCATTCTTGCCCAGATTGGGGATCAGACACGCACTATCCGCACCTGTGCATCCGGCGATGAATGGGCAAGCGGAGAGAATGGTCCAGACGACCAAAGAAACACTCAAGCAGATGGGCCGAGGGGACTGGCAGGAAAGGATTGACAAAATGCTTTTGGCCCAACACATCACACCTCACACAACAACACACCGTAGCCCTGCAGAACTGCTAATGGGCCGAAGGCTACGATCAACACTTGACCGAGTCTATCCCAACTACAGCATAGAGACACCCCTCGATTCCATGGGGAAATGCAGGCAATTCACCATAGGGGACCCAGTCTACGCCCACAATTATACAGGGGAATCCACATGGGTACCAGCCAGGGTAACCAGGATTACAGGACCCTGATCATACAGGGTAGAAACCAAAAAAGGAAGACTGTGGGAAAGACACATCGATCAGATCAGAGGCCGGGTCCCTTACACAGAAAACCAGCCAGACACCCAACAGGCTCCAGCAGAACAGCCCTTGACGCAGGCCCTACCCACAGAACTCAGAAAGAAAACTGACCACTTAGCCTCAAACCCGGACAGAATGTGGGAACACTTACCTTGTGAAGAGGAGGTCCTGCAGTGTACTTCTGAGGCCTCCGGCTCAACAGTCCCTGCACCACCACAAGTGGACTTCAAGACTGTTCTGCAGGCAGGGACCAGAGCAGTGGTGGACCTGTCCACTCGGGTCACTGTCCCAGGAACCAGTGAGATGCGCAGGTCTGGTCACACCTATCGAAGTCCCACCTACCTACGTGACTACATACGGTAGGCTAGTGCTGATTGGAAAAACATTAACTAGGAGGGGAGAGGTGTTATGTATTACCAAATATGGCCAGAGAGTGGAGTCAGCTAACAGACTCCACTCATTGGTCCAGCCACTGGCGGGAGAAATAAAGCCCTGCCAGTGGCTGAAGCTTTGGACAGCGCCGGCTACAAAAGCAGGCCCCTGCCACAGCTGAGCAGCTTTTTTTCACTTACACTCAAATAAAGAAACCTTTACCTGTCCCTGCTGTGTCCTGCCTCTTATTCCCGCAGACCCATCTAACACCAGGTACTCGGCATCTGGCTTGCAATTAATTAATGTTGCAGCATCTCACGGTCACGTGATCATCATTCGTGAGGCTTCTTTGCCTGCTTCCTACAATCACAGTCAAAGGGGAAACTGGCAGGAGATCACAAATTGCAAGCCTTTCTTATTTAAAGACCAACAGTGATTCACTTAATGATGGCAACCAGAACTGCCAGAATTTCCATTGTAGTCACACGATATCATGCTTTATAGCTGCATCACTTAGCAATGGAAATTCCAGGCTCAGCCACCATTGTTAAGTGAACCCTGCCTGTATTTTGTTGAAAACATTTCTAGCCCAACCACTAAGTAGAATTTCTTTTGGCTGGTAACAATTCACAAAAACCAATTGAAATGAAGCAAAAGTTCTGCTTCACCTCCAGGAAAAGGGTAGCACACGCACACACACACAAATTATAATATCCAAACAGTTATATACTTGAGAAGACACATTTTAATATTAGGGAAAACTAATACCACTGAATGCCACTGTTAAACAGGAAAGAAAATTGAGATCCCTCCTAAAAATGTAATATTCAACCTTTACTTTCCAAGGGCTGCTATTTTAAAAGCCAAAGTTAAGATCAAGTGTGTCCAACCTGTAGCCTGCAAGCTGCATGCAGTCCTAGACACACAGTGATGCAGCCCCACAAGATTGTAAACTTTTAACATTGTATGATTTTAAGCAATACTTACTGTATTATATATTGTATATGTAGCCCAAGACAATTCTTCTTCACTTAAAGTAGCCCAGACAAACCAAAAGCTGGGACAGACCCAAGCTTGAATTATGTTGACCTGGCTTCTCATTTCTGTTGCAGGAAAACAGTATGTGAACCTCACAGAAACTGGAAAGCTGATGTTGGTTGGTTTTAAGGAGCACATGTCTGGATCTTATATGTGCACACTTTCTTACAGAGTTTTTCGAAATGACATGCAAGCAGAAGAAGAAAGATTCAAGACCTATAAATTTATGATTTATGGTAAGCCCTATTCTAGGCTATGCCGAGTTGCTCCTCATTAAGTTAGGAACTCAGCTTTAGATCCAAATTTTTTTTAAAAAAATTTTTTTTAAAGTTTGGATTTTCAAAACATCCAATCCATTTTTCACCTCAAATTTCCTAAAGAAACAATTTAAAACAAAATATTCCATCAAACATATTGTAGAATTTTAATTGTATGAAAATAAATAAACTTTGTTGGAAAATAAAAGATTCACATGAAAATATAATTAATTGCACAAATACACTAATAAATGTGTTATCATTTGCCATCTTCTTTTCTGCACTAGAAAAGATGTGCGGGCAATATTTATTTCTATTATGAGTTGGAAAATAGTTTGCGGGCAAATTAAGAGATTGGTTGCTATGAAAATATAGACTTCAGGCAAAAAAATTAGTAGGAAGTACTTCCTCCAGCCCACTCACAAAGTTTCAGGGCCAACTCAACATGATGGAAATATCTCCCAGTGTTTTTTCTTATTCTTGTTTTTTAACCATATTATGTCCATATAAGAGTCTGAATTTGATTGGAACAATTGTATCAGAGAAAGAGGTGCTTAATTTTTTCCCTGTGGGCCACTCGTCTAATCAAAAGAATCCCTTCCCTGTAAATATTTTTTCAAATGCCTATGCATTTTTTCCATTATAATGTGTAAATAGCTAAAGAACAAATAACAGAACAAATGTTCCACAATATTGAAAAGTTCTTTTCCTCTATCTAACCTTTTCATAATTGTTCTGATCTAATTTTTTTTAAAAAAAAATCTTCCTCTTCTGTTTCTTTTCCAAGGTCAAAAACTATTTTAGGACGTCTTGTTTACCCTTCAAATGCATACGGCAGTCTGCACAGAAGGGGAGATGGACAACATAGAACCGTCATGCCACTAGATGGCACCCACTACCCTCCAAATAAAAATGCCCCAGATTTGAACAGCCAAATCTTACAATATTTTTTCGTGTGAAATTACTATTTTGGGTTTCTTAATTTTTAAATTTAAAAATTGTGTATGAACATGAGATACTTCTTTGATAAAACATTATGAATCCATTATAATGTTGCCTGTATTTACATGATATCCTATATTTACATGATAACCTAAATTTCTTAAATGGTTAACAGAACCCAATTCCCGTAATCCCATAGCATGTAAGATCCCATTAAATATGATAGCCTGATTAGCACAATGCTAAGAAAATGAAACTCTATGTACTGTGGTTTTCCAAAAAATATATCAATCCCATTTTCATCAAGTATCGCATTTTGTCTGATTCCAAGCAGTTTATGCTACTTTATGTGGTACTAAAAACACATAAGCGATTATATATTATGTATTAAAGACATGTTAATCTCTTCAGTTGTTCCATACTGATAGACCTCCATTAACTCAAACCTTCTGCAGATTTTTAGTTGATCCCTGCATCTTTGCCTTTTAAAGCAGCTTGAGCTGCAGATCACACAAGACAGGTTTTTTTTAGTTCATACTGGGATACAGAGAGAGAGAGAGAAAGAGAGAGAGAGAGAGAGAGAGAGAGAGAGAGAGAGAGAGAGAGAGATGTTATGTTATATTACGTTACGTTACATTGTGTCTATATCAATCAATCAAAAGCCAGAGCTAGAACTTTAGGCTAAATTAGTGTTTCTCAACCTCATCAGTTTTAAGATATTGGACTTCAACCCTCAGAATTCTCCACCCATAATTACATCTTTCCTGACATGCCTGTTAGATTTAGATTTTAGATTTCTTTATTGTGACATCTATATGCTAGCCTGAGTATCCTCTGGTTCATGCATATTTAAGAAGCAGGCAGAACTACATACATATACACAGACATTATGAAGATATTATTTTTTCCATCCTTCTTGAGAAACTATAAGAAAAAGAAAATAAACCACACTATTGAAATGACTATCCCAAAGTAGCATATTTGTGGACTTTATCTCATCAGTTTGTCTAGATGGTAGATACTTCAAAAGGACACTTTCTTAAGGAGAATGCTCCAGATTTTTATTCCATATTGAATTTCTAATGCAGATAGATAATAAACTAAGAATTATGAAGAGCAACAATATATTACTTTCCCTGCCACTTACATTCTATTTTTTCCTTTTCCCATTTTTTGAAGCATATCGAGAACCAGACTATACTTATCGTATATCTGTTCACTTTACAACCAAAGAATGCAAACTAGCAGCTAATAAACGATTCTTTGAAGAACTGCAGAAAATCTTGAATAATCTGGTTGATAATCTGAAATGCCACATTGTTGATTCATCATACAGATGTTTTTCTGTTAAGCGACCCAAACATGGATTAGTAGATGAACTATTCATTGTTTTTCAAGGTAATGTAAAAGTGATACTTTTTCGCCATCATAGTTTTTATTGTACCTGGACAACCTACGTGGAGCTGGATTGTGGAAAAAGAGTCCCATTCAATATAACTATGTTTTCAGTGCTTTTCTTGTTGATGGTATAATTTCATCAAATCATAGTCCCTTTAATTTGGATCAGCGTTCTTGCAAACATCAGATTTTATCCATTTGATACAGGCATAGCTGCTCTCATTTTGTTTCCGAAGTGTTAGTTCCAAGACTGTGTCACTCCAAAATATATTCTCCTGAATTCGGTCACAAGAGGTTTGCTATGGGTAATCCATAGAAAACTCTGTCCAAAAAAATATTGCAGGCTAATTATTATCATCAGAACTTCTGCTGTATTTTGAGAGAGGAGCGCTGTCACAGGCTAAATATTTTTAATCAGCAAAATCATCTATACATCTATTGAAAGTTCAGCTGAAAGATGGAATCTGTTGCACTGCTGAGATGAAGTGATGGTATGACTAATCTTCACCCTGAGTGGAGTATATATCTTAAATTAATTGCAATTTGGGGGGCATAGAAAAATTGGGAAATATTTCCTCAGGAAACTTTGACAGCCAGTATGAAAATACTTCCTTCAGCTGTTTAGTCAGATAAAGCGGGATTCAGACAGCTGTTCTTTTCCCACTTCCACCTGCTTTCACTGTAACAATTGGTTTTAGATATTTTGGCCTGGGTAACTCAAAGATGGAGCTGGATTACAAGTTATGTCTCTTTTGAATTAATTGTTCTTCCTGGGAACAGATCTACATAAGGCGCAGTTGTTATAGCCCAGGAAGAAATAGCCTTTGCGGCTGAAATCATAAATTCATACAACTGTGAGTCCCATTGCAACTCCCAGGGTGGCACAATTCATAGAGAACAATATTTTTACCTGCAAATGTTTGTTTCTTTTTGTTACTTAGTAAATCCATTTGCCCCTGGCTGGGAGGTTAGTTGCCGTCACATTACCACTGACTGTGAAGATATTACCAACAGCCATGTATATAAGGTTAGAGATTTTTTTTTCCAGTTTTTTTCAAACTGGCATGTTTCTGGATACTAAAAGTACCAAATAGTTTAGAAGGTGTAAATTGCAGGTTGTGATTGCAAGAACCTATCACAGGGGCCCTGGAATTTCCCTGCAGATTTAACAATTTAACTTTAGAAGCAAAAGGCAGAAAGAATTCAGTGGTGGGAGTAGAAAGTAGGGTATCAAAGCATAGACACCTTTGAAACCTCAACAATAAAGATAGGTAAATATCAACTCCCACCAATTAAAAAGAGAAAAAAATTAAGCCTATCCCATTCAGTGACACTGATGCATCAACACAATTGCCCTGCATCCCTTAGAGTCTCACAATTAAAATAAAATTAAGTCATCCTGAATCAGATAAGCTGTGTTCCTGCCAAAATAGATAGATAATTAAAAAGTATATACACAATGAAATGTCACAATCACTTTCTTCAATGTTACTAAATTAGATTGAGGATCAGATTGTAGGTCATTTTTCTACAAGAAAACCCAACCCAAGATCAGAAAGTCCATTCTTTCATTGGTTGTTTTCTTTTTTTTAATTAAATTTTTTATTGGTTTTTAAAAACAAACATAAACAAACAAAACATAAAAACATCAAGCTATCTTCCATAGGTGTACATACAGTGTGCCGGTTGGTTTACAAATTGTTTTGTGCTTCCATTTCATAGTCTTCAATTACAATTACATTACATATAATCTCATATTGTCAATCAAAAATTAAATACCTTAGTATCATTATTAATCAATCATTTGACTATACTTTTATTCATTCATGTTTTACAAGATAACCATAATTTACTTAATTTATTTTATAACAGTTCATATTATCATCCCAAATCTATCCTGAAATCATTTTGTAGTTATAATAAGAAAGAAGTACATCTTTATATATTTATTATTTTCTAGAAATCTACATATTTCGTTACTGTACTTTGTTATCTAACCATTGATAGAAAAGATCCCAAATTTTATAAAATTGTTTATCCTCTTGTTCTCTAATTTCAAATGTCAATCTACTCATTTCAGCACATTCCAATATTTTCTTAATGATTTCCTCCTGTGATGGTATCTTTTCATTTTTCCAGTTTTTAGCAAATACAATCCTAGCCGCTGTTAATACATTTACAATCAGGTATTTCAAGTCTTTACTATATATTTCAGGTAAAATTCCCAATAAAAATATCTCTGGTTTCAAGTCTATATGTTTTTTCGTCATTTTTTCCAACCACATGTGGATTTTAGTCCAGTATTTTTTAGCATCCGCACGAGTCCACCACATATGGTAAAATGAACCAGGTGTCTGATGACATTTCCAACATTTTTCAGATTTATTCTTGAACATTCTTGCTATTCTTGTCGGGGGGAAATGCCACCTGTAAAACATCTTATACAAATTTTCTTTATATGCTGTTGACATTGTCATTTTATAATTTTGAGACCACAATTTTTGCCATTTCTCTAAATCAATCCCATATCCAAAATTCTTCCCCCAAGCAATCATAGTTTCTTTAACTTGTTCTTCTTCTAGTTTAATTTCTAATAGATATCCATACAATTTTTAAATCACCTTTTCATCAGTATCTGTCAAAATCTTATCTAAGTCAGTCAATTTATCATAGAAATCTTTTGTTTTAGAATCTTTATCATACCTTGAATGTATTTGCGCATATGAAAACCAATTCATCTTTATACCTTGTTCCTCTAGTTTTTGCATAGATTTAAGTTCACCCTTTTCATTCAGTATTTCACCATATCTAACTGTTTGTTCCTTTTTGTATATTATAGGATACGAGAATGCTTCAATAGTCGATAACCAAACTGGAATTTTCAAATAACATTGTCTTTTAACCTTCTCCCAGTTTAACCACAGAGACTCTCGTATATAATGTCTTTTAAAATACCCCTGTGTTTTAGTTCCTTTGTACCATAAAATAGCATGCCACCCCAACAACAGATCATGTCCTTCTAATGTCAACAATCTAGCATTTCTTAGTGTTATCCATTCCTTAACCCACATCAGATTTGTAGCTTGGTAGTACATTTCCCAATTAGGCAAACCAAATCCTCCTCTAATTCTAGCATCTTGCAAAAGTTTTAACTTTATTCTCGCTTTCTTACCTTGCCATATATATTTCAACACAATTTTATTTAAATCTTCAAAGTAGTCTTTTCCAAGCCTAATTGAAATTGTTTGAAACAAATATAAAATTCTGGGTAATATATTCATCTTGATTGTTGAGATTCTCCCTATTAGTGAGAGTTGTAAGTTTTCCCATTTCACCAAATCTAGCGCTATCTGCTGTTTAGGTTTAATATAACCATTCTCTTTTAATGTACTACATCTTGCTGTCAAATATATCCCCAAGTACTTGATCTTATTCGTGACTTGAATTTTCAATAGATCTGCCAGTTCTTCCTTTTGTCTTAATAGCATATTCTTTGTCAAAATCTTTGTCTTATCTTTATTTATTTTCAAACCAGCCACCTTTCCATATGTCTCTATCTTTTCTATCAATTTTGATGCTGTTTCTAAAGGGTCTTCTAAGATGAAAACCAGATCATTCGCAAATGCTTGCAGCTTAAATTCTTCCTTTTTGCTTTTCATTCCTTTTATATTCTTTTCATCTCAAATATTTCTGTTTAACACTTCCAGAGTTAACACAAACAACAAAGGTGATAGTGGGCACCCTTGTCTTGTTCCTTTTCTTATATTAATAGAGTCTGTCAGCTCTCCCTCTATCATTACCTTTGCCGTTTGCTTATAGTATATAGCTTCTATTGCTTGGATGAATTTTCTAGCAAAACCCATCTGTTCCAACAGTAATAACATGAATCGCCAATTCACATTGTCAAATGCCTTCTGTGCATCTAGAAATATCAAAGCCATTTGTTTTTCAGGATGTGCCTCGTAGTATTCCAAGGTGTCCAAGATTACTCTCATATTGTCTTTAATTTGTCTCTTTGGCAGAAATCCATTTTGATCAGGATGGATAAAATTATTTAAATATTTTTTTAGTCTTTCTGCCAAAATTGAAGCAAAGATTTTGTAATCTGCATTTAGTAAAGAAATGGGTCTATAGTTCTTAATTTGTAATGGGTTGGCCTCCTCTTTAGGAATAAGTGTAATATAGGCTTCTGACCATGATTTAGGTATCTTCTTCTTTATCATAACTTCATTCATAACTTCTAGCAAAGGAAGATTCAACGATTCTTGTAATGTTTTATAAAATTCTGCCGGAAGTCCATCTGGGCTTGGTGCCTTTCCATTATTTTGCTTCTTGAGTGCTTCAGTTAACTCCATCATCGTTATGTTGCTTTCTAACATTTTTTCAATCTCTTTAGGTATCTGAGGTAAATTAGCATTCTGTAAGTACTGCTTAATTCTTTCTTCATCAATATTCTCTTGCATATATAATTTCCCATAGAAATCTCGAATGATTTCCTTCTTCTCTTTGCTACCATGGCAAACTTGGCCTTGGTCATCTATTAATTGCAATATTTTCCTTGATTCTTTCTCTTTTCTCAATTTATATGCTAACCATCTACCTGGTTTGTTTGCGTCTTCAAAGTAGTTCTGTTTAGCACCTCTAATTTTCTGTGCTAATTCTTCTTTTTCTATTTGACCCATTTTGTGTTTAATTTATCCATTTTTAACTTGATGTCCTTTTTCTGTGGCATTTTCTGTAGCTCTTTTTCAAGTCTTTTATGCTCATCCTCTAGGGCCTTAGAGGCTAGCCTTTTCATAGTATTCCTTTTCCTTGTATAGTCTATTATCAAGTCTCGAGCATATGCCTTCATTGTATCCCATACATTCTGAATTGATGTATCTTCTTTTTTATTTTCTCTAAAGAAAAAGGCCAATTCTTTCTCCATCCACTGTGTGAAGTCTTTTTCCTTTAAAATAGTATTATTTAACATCCATCTAGATCTTCTTTTTTGCCCTTTCCATTTAATTGTCATTGGATTGTGATCTGCCCAAGTACTTGTTTCAATATTTATTTCTTGAATGTTAGGTATTAATTATGTTGACATCCATATCATATCTATTCTGGACCATGATAAGTGTCTATTTGAATAGAAAGTATATTGTTTAGTTTTAGCATTTCTTTCTCTCCGTGTATCTTTTAAGTTTATTTCATCTACCATTTTAAAAAAAAGATTTAGGGAGAGTCTTTCTGTTTTGCTTTGTTGTTTTCTGTGCTGTATAATCCAGTTTGTTGTCTACAATTCCATTAAAATCTCCCATCATAACTATATTAGCATAGTCCAGTTCAATTATTTTCATATGTAGTTTTTTGTAGAATTCTTCTTGTTTATCATTCGGAGCATATATTGCAATCAGGAGTGTTTTCATATTATTGTCCATTATTTCCACCATTAGTATTCTTCCATCATCATCAGTATAAATCAATTTTGCTGGGGTGGTCTCTTTGATATATAAAACCACTCCTCTTTTCTTACATTGGGTCAAGGAAGTAAATATTTTCCCTAATTTTGGCTGTACCAACAATTGTTCATATTGTTTTTTAATATGTACTTATTGTAGACAGATTATATCAAATTTTAATTTCTCCAATTTATGAAAGGTTTTCCTTCTTTTAATGGCTGAGTTAAGTCCATTTATATTAATTGTAATCATTTTTTCTCTTCCATAGTTATATTTTATAATTAGGTTTAACAGCTCTCATAGATCTTAATTCATGTTGTTCTTTGGCTTCCACCTTTCCACCTACTGTGCCTTCTTCTTTTTCAGTCACCATTAGGCAGTCCTCTTGGAATTCAATTAATGAGATCTCTTTTTCTGCCTCTTCTTTTTTCCTTCCAAAAAATTCTGTATAAAATAATTCAGCTTTCTCAATTGAGTCAATTCTGTGTATCTGTTCTTGCCATGTGAACATTAAACCTTCTGGAATCAGCCATCTATAATTCACCTCTTTTTAAAGTAGCATTTTAGTCAGGAATTGGTATTCTATTCTCATCTCTCTCACTCTTCTGGGTATTTGTTTCAAGACCACAATCTCCTTGTCTTTGTATTTCAATGTTTTCTCTTTTGCCACTTGCAATATTTGCATCTTAATGGCTTTCTTTGTAAATCTAATGTGAACTTCTCTTGGTAAGCTATTTCTCATCGCATATCTTGTGAAGACTCGATAAACCTCATCTATTCCATCCATCATCTTCTCTTGAGTTATTTCCAAAGCTTCAGCCAGTATTTCTATCATTATCTCAGCTAGGTTTTGTCCTTTTTCTTCCTCTACATTTTGAAATCTAAGATAGAATTCTGATCTATCCATCTCCCATCTCAACATACCACTTTTATCTTGTTCAACCACCGTTAATCTATTATCAATATCTCCAATCTTCTTGTCTCTTTGTTTATCTTCTTCTTCAATTTTTTGGAATCTCTCGTCATACTTCAACATCATTTGTTGGATGTTCTCCACTTTTTCATTGGTTTTCCCTATTCTTTGTTCAATGCTCTCAGTTCTTTGTTCAATGTTCTCTGTTCTTTGTTCAATATTTTCTATTCTCTTTTCAATATTCTCTGATCTTGCTTAGATATTTTGAATTCCTTGCATAATCATCTGCAGAGTCAGTTTTTCTTGTTCTTTTTCTTGCTTTAACATTGTCTGTATTGAACATTGTCCTCCAGATGGTGGAGAGGAAGAAGTAGAAGTTGAAGAGCCAGGGGCTGTACATTTCCTACGCATTTTAGGCAATTCAAAATCTTCAGGTTCTTCTAAACCTTAATCCAATTGTGAAATAGCCAATTGTAGTTCAAAATAAAAATAGTAAAAAAAAAAGTCCAGTAATAATAATAAAAAAAGGAAAAAGAAAAGAAAAAAAGATAGGTTCAGGTTCTTCAGGTTCTTGTATACCTTAATCCAGTCAAAAGTAAGATTAAAAAAAGAGCTTAAAAAAAAAAGAAAAAAAGAAAAAAGAGAAAAAGGAAAAATTCTTCAGGTTCTTCAACACCTTAATCCAATTGAAAGGTCTCAAATAGAAAAAAGTGCATAAAAATAAACCAAAAAAGTAGATGAAAAAACAAAAATACCAGGAAAGGGGGAAAAAAGGTTTTTAAGGCTTTCCCTTTAAAATAAAAAGCAAACATAGAGGTTGGACTTCCAAAAAAAAAAGAGAGAAAAACAAAGGCAAGCTCCAACAAAGCCAAAAACCCAAACAGTTGTTACAAAAAAGGAGATAGAAAAAAAATGCAATAAAGCTGGTGAGGAGGGATAGCACAACTTAGGAAAAGTAAAAAGGGCACACTGCACTTTATTTAATTATCCAAGGCTCTTATTATAGCTCTCTTCTCCAAAAACTTATCACCTTTTCCCCCCTGCATTTCAACACCAGACTCCAGCTGTTGATAGAAACCCAGAAGAGCACCTGCAATAATACTCTCTTACGCTCTTCCCTCTATCTTATCAAATAGCAATGTCCTTGAAAAAAAGTCTCAGTTCTTTCTTTCTCAACTTTGTCTGGTCACAGGGAAAAGAATATTTTCAAGCCTCTAGTTGGCAGTGTTACAAAGTTTCTTTGCTCTCACTTTCCCCCTCCTTTTCCGAGCAGAATATAATGAGAGTTGATAAAAAGAAAAAAAAGCTATTTTAAAAAAATGAATTAACTAAAGGGAGCCTCTAGCCTAAAATATTACAAAATCAAAAAGGAGAAGAAGAAAAATAGATAGATATGAATGAAAAAAACAGTCCAGTTTCAAAATACAAGATTGTATATAAAAAATCCAGCAATGAGAAAAACAAAGCAAAACATTACTTTGACAGTCCTGTTTAAAATCGCCGCTTAATCACTTCTGTCAAAACTTTTACAGATTCTTTCTTTCCCTTAGGGTGTCCTTTCAGATCTTAGAGTAAAAAAAAAAAGTTCTCACCAAACTGGCACACTTTCTCTTTTTGCTCTCTTCCGTTTCGGAGCTGTCCCAACTTCAGCAACTTTAATGGCTGCCTCTTTGCCGCTGGCAAGAAGAGCTTCTCCTGGATCTACCAGGGACTTTGCGGTATCCCTGGGATTGACAGGATGCGTTCTTCACTTTCACCATCTCTTCGGGATGGTTTAGATCCAATTGGATCATCCAGGAGCAAAGATATCGGCAGCGATCTCAGACCTCCAAGATCGCATGCCATATCGTTGCGACGCCAGCTCCACCCTCCCTTTCATTGGTTGTTTTAATCAGCTTTTAGAATACTATCAGGATTTAATGCCACCTTGGCATAAAAGAAATGCCACTGGGCCCCTGCCCTCTAAACTGAGAGGAAACTCATAATTTCTCTCATAAAATATATATCAGATTATTCAATTCCATTTTGAAATGGTACCTGAGAGTAGCTGGGGGCCAAGACATCTAGCACCTTGAATCACAAAAATACCTCAAAATCTATCTGAAATCAATGTAGGGATTTTATCAAATACAAAACTGCAGCAAAAGCATTATGTACCCTGGCAGCATTCCCTCATAAACAGAGAGAACAAAGACCAGACAGGATTGACCTAAGAACTTACAGAAACATCAATACAAATTCTTACGGCATTTATTTTATCCACCTGGTTATTTTCTTGAGAGTGTGTTTCTGATGTATCCTTACAACTAGAGTCCATTGGAATAGGGTGCCCAATAAATTTAAATAAATAAAGGTTATAAAGTGGGCTGCATAAGAAACAGCCTTTCCTCATGGAAATCTGGGAAGGGTGGGATTCGCCACATGAACTCTTCCATTTAATTTACCTACAATGGGGCCTAGAAGATTCCCAGGCAGCTTACCCTTTGATTGGCCTTGCATTTCGTGAGCAAGATTTCAGGGCTCTGGGCATCAAGTTTTATTCCTATGATTTCATTTATTAATGTTCTTGTTTTGATGTTTTAGGCTCGAGGGCTCATTGAAAAGTTTTTCCGTGAACAATGGTACATCTTGAAACATGAGTTTGTGAACATCCCTGCAATCCATTACATAGATCACAGTTTCCAAGTCACTCGGCTAGACAGCTGTCGTCCAGGGTTTGGGAAAAATGACTTTATCCATAATGACTGTGCAAATTGCTGTGGTATTTATTTTATTCATGTGCTTATTTTCTCAAGGACTCTGATTTGATTTATCCTTACAACCAACTTACCATTTGTGATTGGCCATAGTTTACATTGCAGTGTTTAAATCCTCTTAGCTTGTTGATTAAATAAAGCAAGGACATTCATTTATTTTGAAAAAACCCTTTTAGGAAAAAAATATTTTTACTGAATTTGATTTAGAGTTCAGGTTTTCTTTTCAGATTACTGCCATCTGCTAAAAGCTGCACAAAACCAAAATAATTATATTAAATATAAATTACAGGTGTTTTCAAATATTGTTCTGGGTTATCAAAGGTTTTCTGCAATTTTGTTCAGTTTTATCACTAAGAAGATTATTCCACTGTATCAAGAGCCTTTTAAATCTTATTATTGGCTCTAGGCTACATGCTTTTTCTGCTCCCTCATCACCACCACCCTTGTGTCAGTCAAGCTGCTTATTTCCATTTGAACTCTTTGTGGAGACAGAAAAGTATGACTTGAAAAGTTCTGACCTCCAGATCTTACTATCTAGTCCAGTTGTCACTTTTTCTTCCTTTTGTTACCTTCCTTTGTGAGCTCAACTCACTGTGTATTTTAGCCTTTCTATTTTCCTGCCAATATCAGCTACCTCCTAGTAGTTTTCCTTTGTGATTATACCCAGTTTCTGTGTCCTGTGAGTGTCCTTTGAAAGTTCTCCATATATCCCAGATGGCTTCCTGAGCTCTTTTCCCACCACCATCTTTATTTTTTTTTCTTATTGAAATTGTGTGCAATTGTACTTCCAGTACTGCTAAAGGGAGGAGGAGGAGGAAGCGGTGGTGATGGTAGTGGAGCTCAATTATAGCATCAAAAACTTTGGGTATCATTATTTTGTCAAGTTCCAATCTCTGGTGTTTCTCTTGATTGAGGGATTCTCTTTGTTTAGCCCTCTCTACTCAATTTCAGAAGAATTCCTTATTTTTATCAAATCATTTTGTACTCTGTCTTTTAATTTTATCTGTTCCTTCATCACCTCTATTGCATTTGCACCTACCTATTCTATGTATACACTCATTCTCTCATCTTCACTTTAGTAGCCATCATTTTCACATGCAGTAGAACCATGACCAAATTGGGTTCCGACCAAAAAAATCCACAAAATGTTTGAATCTGGTCATGAACACATACTCAGGTGGCAATCAAACATGACCCCTGATCCAGAAATTCCTGAAGATGAAACATTAGAAGATGAAGAAATTGCCAAAGTTATGAAATGAATTATGGTCATGACCAGAGGTTCTACTCTATGTAGTTTTCCTCATCTGCAGCCTTTTATTTTAAGATGTAGACATAAAACTAAAGAGAATCACAGAAACTGTGGGTTTACATTATTATGGCAGTAACATATAAAATATTTTAGTTCTAAATTTTGTAAATAAAATTATAGTGTTACTAATAAGGCAGGAAAGCTCATTTGGTGTAGTGGTTCAGGTATCTGCTAAAAACCCGGAGACTCTGAGTTTTAGTCCCACCATAGGCACAAAGCCAGCTAGGTGACTTTGGGACAATTACTTCCTCTCAGCCCTAGGAAGAAAAAAGCAATGGTAAACCACTTCTAAGAACTTTGCCAAGAAAACCATGGAGTTTTGTCCAGGCAGTCATCAAGTGTCAAGAATAAAATAAAAGCAGGGGGGAGGGAGAGAGAGAGAGAGAGAGAGAGAAGCCTTATCACTTATTTTGTACTTCTTGTGTCATCTCTACTATTCAGCACTGTCACCCAGCAGAAAATTTTCCCCTGTAAATCACATTGATTTAAAATGTTGCATAATTTTCTTCCTAGCATATCCTTGGTTCTTCAGTTATCACTCTCTCATAGTTTTCTACTTTCATTTTCACTTATAATGATCTAGATCACACCAGTTCATACCTTCTGATATACTTTTCATCCCTTTCATTCAAAATTAAATCTTCACCTGCATGTATGGATAACTCTACTCCACAAGATCACATAGCCTTCATTCATATCTGTTGCATCTTTCCCTTCTCTTCAAGTTTCATTGAGACACAATATTATCTTTCTCATGTTATTTATTAATATTCATATTATTAATTCATTTTATATAATTCAAACCCATGCATATTGCATCTTATGTGTCCCATGAGATTCAAGTATTGCAAAAATGTCAACAATGGGTTGATGTCTTCCTTTCTCTAACTGAAATAATGTTAATTTATTTTGTTTGCAGTTGCCTGTGACCCTGGGAGTTACAGCCCAAACAATGACATAACCTGCCAGCCTTGTACAAGCATCCGGATTAAATACTACGGAGCAAAATCCTGCTAAATAAAATCAAAATAAGAAAAGGAGAATTGCTGCAAAGCATCTTGTTATCTCATCATTTACATCTGTGTCATGTTTATGCTAAATTCAAGATTCCAGTTGAAAAACAGCAGTTATGCACTTAATCTGTTATGTAGTAGAATTTATATCCCATGTTATTAGCAACTGATAATGCAGTATAAAAAATTCCAAACTTCATAATATCTAAACCACATACATTATATCAGTTGCTATGATCACTGAACAAGAAGTGAAATAGTTGTTTTTCATGGCTAACGGCTAATTATTCATGTCCTTCATGCGGTATGTAATTTAACTCTGCAATCTAATTCTCTGTGCACTATTCAGTAATTCTATTGTCTTAAGCAAGTATCTGAATGTTATCAGTTTTGCACTGGAATAATTTTTGAAAGATCTGCAAAATAATCCTAGGTAAGCAAAAATTGGAGGAATCAGTTTGAATGCATGTTCCTAGACAGTGAAAATCAAATCAAAATTATGGTATGATGACTGAAGAGAAAGGTTTATTTAGCAGGAATTCAGAAGATAGGCCTAGCATCTATAAAGAGGAAGTCTATGTTGGAGAGAACAGAGGCGACATGGAAGATGCTAAGATTAGAAATCCTGTAAACAAAGAACAGGTAGAATAAGAAATAAAGAGGAAACAGATAATTTTTCCTTATCTGTCCACTGCCCATGGAAGGATTCCATAGAGAAGAGGAATCATCCTCCAAAATATGCTGAAAAAGATTTTGATTTTTCCAACCTATCATACTTTGCAATCAGGCTCTAATAATCAAGAACCAGTAGCATTAGTCTTGTGCCAATCTTTGAAAAAAGAAAGGATACTATTGAATTTTATTTGCAAAAGTGTTAAATTTGGGTAATTTAAATTTTAAAACCTTTTATTTGGGAAATTTGTCAAAGAATGCAAGGATTTAAAATGTAAATACATTTTTATTATCAGTGGTAAAATGCATAGAAAGTTTCCATATGAGATGTTGCAACTAAAGTGGTGAGAGAGGGAGGGAGAGAGATTGTTACATAGATTTTAAAAATTACAAGAAAATGCTGGTCTAAAACATTGGCACACATTAGACAATATTTATATGGTTGGGCAGCCATATGAATTTGTTTAATAAAATAGTTGTGTTTGTTGCTGCTGCAGAGAAAAAGAAGGGTGGTGAGTTTCAACTGAAGTTTTAAATTGTAGCTTTTTATTATTGTTTGCTGCCCAGAGTCATTAGATGAGTTAGATGATCATATATTTTTGTTTCATAAATAAAAATATACAAGTGTGTGGGTTTTTCATTGATTTTTGACTAACGTTAAATCTGGATTTTGTAAAATAGTATGTAAATAGTATGGGAAGTACAGAGGAAAACAATTCTGAAAGGAAAAGTTGAGGTCCAGTACTGGTGGGAAAGGCAGAACATACCTGAATAATCAATTTGAAGACCAAGTGTGATGTCATATATTTTTTTGGGTGGGGGGGGGTTATTTTATTTTCAGGCAAAAATATTGCCTCTAGCAATATTCAGGACAGATGTTTTACCATATTTTTGGAAAATTAACTTGGGTCAATTGAATTAGAATTTATCATCTGAAAAAAACCTGATTGACTGTCAGATAGAAGCAAAGAATTGGAATTGTCTGTATCGCTTTGCTAACATCCAGGCGATATGCAGATTATAGCAGCTCATAATCTGGATGCCTTAATTATGATCAAGGAATAATGTTCTATTCCCCAAAATGATAATTCAGAAGCCTTTGTCCATATATTAGCTAGTGGTTACTCTGGGAAAACACTTTGTATCAGTAACATTAAATATCCTGTATTAAAGTTTGCAGCGATCACATAGAGTTGAGGGCCATCTACACATCCTCACACCCACAGAAGACTCCATTGATGTGCTTCCCATCTTCTTTGAGATGGAAGCAAAGTATGTCTCCTTGAAGAACGACTGTCTTTACAGCATTTGTATTACTACGCCTCAATAATGAGACAGGTAAAGTCACTGCATACATACAAGGACAGCCGCTCACCTTCCAAAGAAATATCCTTTCAGGTTATGTGAAAGTCTAGCTGCACCAAGTCCATGTTTCAATAACTCAGCAGAGTCCTCCTGGTTGAGTGATCAGGCCCAAGCAGTTAACAGGAATCACATTTTCTTCTGCTCATTAGGGCAGCCATCAATATTTTTCTTCCTGCCTAAACTTTATCTCTGGCATTTGACAGTCATAATACTCCCCATGAGATCATTATTTCTTTGACTGAAAGAGAGATTTCCTGGTTAGTTTCTGCTCTCTCCTAAGACAAATCCGAGAGAGAGAGGGGGGGGGGGGGAGGGAGGGAGGGAGAAAGAGAAAGAGAGGAATAGAAACGCCTGGAAGATGGGAAAGGCCATTCCCAAAGTGGACAAATTGAACCTAATAGGATACCTCTTTCATGGAAAAGTTTTCACCATTTTCTTGCATTTTCTGATGGAAAACACTTTTCAGCTGAATCACCTTCATTTGGCTTTAGCCTCAGAGAAACAAAAATCTCTGTTTTACGGCCATCCCTTCAACCAATTGTAAAGTGAACAATTTTACTTACTCTTCTCATCACCACCACATCCTGCTATGATTGAAAATCTACTCAGTGAATATCACAAGCTTGTATCACATAAAATAAATGAAATGCCTAATTACATAATTTTAGTGAAATGACTAATCAAATACAATAGTTTGAAACATTTGTTTAATCAATTTAAATAGCTATCCCTTTCACAGGACAGCACTTCTGGCAGCATACAATATTGCTAAAACAGTTAATAAATACATTAAAATATAAAAGCCAAACCAAAACGAAGAATAATAGATGAAGGGATGTTAAAAATAACAGAGCCACCTCACTGGTCCATCTACTGCTGGTATCCTGGCCTGCTGGCATAACCAGGTCTTGAGGGACCTCCAGAAACTCCATAGAACAAGGTAAATATTACCTCAGTGTACAGAAGACTCCATAGTAGAAAGAAGCGTGCATAAGTGCACCAATGTGCCTACCGTCCCTGTTCTATTGTTTCTTTTATTTCTCTTATATGTATTCATTTCTTGTATTTACAACTGTTTATCCTTATACCTATTATCTTGTAAGCGATTGACAAATAAATAAATAAAAATAAATAAATAAACAAATAAACAAATAAATAAAATAAAGTTGTCACCCAAGCCCCGCCGCCACCACCACCACCAAATGCAGGTCCCTAGCCAATGGAACCTGTAATATACCCTTGGATCTTGATAGAATAGGCAGATAAAATCAGGAAGAGGCAGTCCCTTAAATAACCCTGTCCCATATCATGAAGGGCTTTAAAGGCCAACTCCAGCACCTTGAAGTGGATCTGAAAACAAACTGGTAACCAATGCAGTTGCAAAGCAAAGGTATAGCATATGTACCACCAGAAACACACATAAGTGCTCACACTGTTGTATTTTACACCAGCCCAAAGTTTGCAGATTCTTTTCAATGGTAGCCCTATATAGAGTGCATTGCACTAGTGTAACTAGGAAATGACTAGAGCATGCGTGGCCATAAATAGGTCTCCCTAATCTAGGAACTGGCACAAGTACTGCACAGTTGTGAAATTATGCAAAGATCCTCCTAACCCCACTGTCACATTGAAGTAGGGAATGGGATGCCTTGATAACAATCATGAATTATGGTTATTTATAAATTTCATGATTCAAAGAAGAAAGCAGAGGGGACATATTGAAGCCTCATTCATCTGAGACAAGGACAAATTAATCTTCCCATTTAGAAAAATATCATTGAGCATATACATATATTACATTGCAATGAGAAGCCAAACTTTGTATTCCATAGTTCCTCAAAATTCCTTGTTAAAGTAAAAATAACAACTTTCAAGTATAAATTATAGTTCAATCAACATATGAATAAATATCAATGTTTCTATGCACTTACAAAAAGGAAATACAGAAATACAGATAGTTGTTCCTCAGTTTTTCCCAAGACTTTTGCAATAACAAAAATACAATTAATTTAGAATCTAACTTTGAACCTGGTCAAGCCTCTTGGCCATGAGGTTACAACTCACATAGATTCAGCATAGTATAGTATAGGACTGAGAATTGTAGGCAATCAGGTGGAAAACTCCGTAAGCTAATATCCACAATTTCTTACTTCTCATTATTTTCCTATAAGGAAATGGGAAACATCAGCCTATCTAAAACTGAAGAGATGTTTTGAACCGCTAAGAACTTTTTTGAAATATTAGTTTTAGTTCACAGTCTGGTTGACCTTTTGCAGTCTCAAAAACATTGCCTTTTTTAGAATCTGTTTTAGTTCTTCCTTCATCCACTTAGAATCTGCAGTGCATACAAGCTGGAGTAAAGAGCAGCCAGTTCTGAGCAGGCATCATTATTCCTCTGGCAAGTGATGGAATTTTCCCCAACTTCTAAACCCATCCCGCAGATTTGCAGCATATCAAGGTTGAGATCAACTTCCTCCTCCATCAGGGAATGGGGAGTGAAACTGCCACCTTCTTCACCAGAAAGAATCCTTTCTGAAGTAACTTCCACCTTTTGAAGTGAAGCAAGAGAAGAATTGAGAGAGAAAAGGAAAATAGGGGGTGGGAGACAGAGATAATAAAAAAACCAATTTACAAACAGCTGGCTAGTCAGAGACAGAGTCAATAGAAACTGCAGCAAGAGTAGTGAGATCTGCTCCTAGTTTTAAATTTTGGATCGGGCAGCTCATTATCACCCATTGCAGTCATGATTATAGTCCAGAATTCCAACTCAGAAACGCTGTGACTGAGGAGAAATGCTGAGATCCTGTTTGGATCTCTTGTACAACAGACTTTTCCAAATAAATGTTTTGGATTGCAACTGGCAACATAATGATCTTTTAAAACATAATTTAAAAACAAAGGAGGCGCATTATAATTATTGGACGAGATTGCACTATCCCAGACAAACCCAGTATATAACCGGAGGGT